AATAACATGGGAGTGAGTAGTTGCAAGGTTAATCTTAAATAGGGTCGACATTTTCGCCAGCCGGACCAGACCCAAAATTAAAATGGGGCTCTTTCACATTGAGTTATTTGCGGTTGCTCCAATTTACACATGCCTGAACCTGATACGGCTAATTATCCACCTATCCCAGAAAATTGATCTTTATCCGTTTACAATTTGTTTGTCACACCACAGCACAGTACGAAACATGTGCAGCTACAAGAGCAAAAGCCAAAAAGGAATCGCCAGACACAAGTAAGAAACATGTGATATGTGACTCTCGGTAATATCGCCTGTAGTCCTATAAATACCCATCACATTAGTAGCCCATAGACTCACCCTACAATACAAGCTGCCCGCCGCATCGGAGAAGTGGAGGCGTTGCGTTTGAGAGTCTCGACCTGTCGTCTCCCTAGCACGTCTTCTTCTGCGTGACAGGTAGTATCTTTGGCTCTCTGTGCTGCCATCATCTCCCACCAAACCCAAGCTAGCTTCATATATCTCTCTCCCTTCCATCAAACCCTAGCTTCACATATCTCTCCCTGCTAGCAAACCCTAGCTAGCTTCATATATCTCTCCCTGGAATTAAGATGATTCATGTTTGTGTGTGTGTGTGTGTGTCAAAAACAGTATGGCCAACAAAAATATGACCTCATGATATATATCTTGAGCAGATCTGGTTGGATACTCTCATTTTCATCATAATCTTCTCTCTTCTCTCTTATATATATGTATTTATACCTTAATTAATTTGTAAATCTTCTTCCTGAAAGGAGACTTTGTGAGCATGGAGGGGACTCCGAAAGACACCGTCAGTAGGTACAAGATCATGAACGGAAGAAAGTCCAAACAGAAATTGTTAGTTCAAGAGGCTGTATTAAGCATCAATGTTATCGAATTGGAGATTCACCAGATAATTAGGTATTATATAAACTGTTGATTAAGAAAGTAGTGTCTATATACATGATCCTCTCAATCTTTTTCTCTCTATAATCTAACATTGAATTCTTTTTCGATATACTGATGACCAAATACTTATTTTTTCCTTTTCGCTTTATCAGAACCAAGGTTTGGATAGAGACCAATATTGACAGACACATTGGAATAAATGTATACAACCTTGGGTGTTCAAAAAAATTCTTAGTTATTTTGTCTTTGTTCATTTTTTCTAAAGTTACTGTGTGAAGAACCATAAATAGTTATGGGTAGTTACCATTACACTCACTGGCCACTTTACCACCAAATTCAAGAGATTATGTGTTGAATGATTGTAAAATCTTTCGTTTTCAGGTCATGTTTCTCTCGGATAAATTTCAAAGGTAAAAATACTGCTATCCTAGAGAAGGACGATGAAATCATCTCTGCAGCATCTATAAGGTATTATTCGTCACGTTTTTGTCACAAACATGCATATGTGTATTGGTACATACTGCTATCCTAGAGAAGGACGATGAAATCATCTCTGCAGCATCTATAAGGTATTATTCGTCACGTTTTTGTCACAAACATGCGTATGTGTATTGGTACATATTTCACTAATTATAATTAGAAATGCTTCTTTTCCTGCTAACTACCTCTATTTTCAATGTACAGAATACATGGAACAAGGATGGCGGAGATGCCATTTGTGGCAACCCAACAGAAGTTTGGGAGAAAAGGATTGCTTCAAAAGTGGTAACTAGTTGCCATTGAATCTATAACAATTTACATGTAAGTGTTTCTAAGCATGGACATTGGACTATAAAATAAAATTGAAAAGCTTACTAATCTTTTCTGAAAAAATCTTATTATTTGTTTTGTAAAACTTGCAATTTTCTATGTTGGTATGTGTGCTTAGAATGGCGAAAATAACATCTGCAGGTCTCCATTTAATTATCTTCCTAATCTAAACCATATACACCAAACCATAAATTGCTGACCGCAAGCCCTAAAATAATATCGGTTTAGCCTAAGCATAGTCTAACCTCGAAAATTATGCATATGACCCTATATTTCTCATTTTCACCTCTCATAATTATGTTTGTATACTTCATTGGCGTTCTAGTGAAGACCTAATTGAAGATGCTTTGTCAGAACTTGCATCTCAACTATATAATGGCGATATGTATCGAGATATTGATGCATTTTGCCGTTAGTGTGTCGATATATTTTCAAGAGCTTTTTGTGGTCGATATACATCTGAATTTGAGGGCTAAATGATAGAAAAAGATCAACATCCTTAAGGGATTTGGTGTTAGGAATTCTAGCTATATGGACACTTGGGTAATTAATCAAAAAACAAATTATCATGTTGTATGCTTTATAAAAAATATAAAAGAAAATTCAATTAGGAAACTTGTACTCAGTCATGCATATAGAAGTTAAGATTTGTTCACAGATTAGAACTAAAATTTCTAGCTACATATAAAAGTATATATGTAGTGGCATGCAATGTATTAGGGTTTCATAAAGTTTCAAACAAAGTTTTTATACTTATACTCATTGTTTTTGTTATTATTAATTTTCTCGAAGTTCTTTGTAAAAAAAAATTGTCAAAGTTTCCATCATATTGATATTTTGACTTGTTTATTTCAACAGAAGACAAGCTGATTTGTGAGTGTGACTCTAAAACTGAAAGCAAAGGAAGAAATAGTTTTAATAATCAGAGTATACAAGCAGGCCCCCTAGAAGATAAGCGTATGCAATATTCAGAACCAGGAACTTGGTTGAACTGAGCAAATGGCATAAGTGCTGCAAGCTCAAATAGGAATTGGCAATTCGTAAGGCGAAAACGAGGCCCCGCTCTCCTAAGAATGGGGCTAATGAAGACAAGCACATAACATCAGTATTTGTCTCAAGTAATATATCCAATATTCCAAAACAGGAATAAGATTACGTTGATCAAATGGCTCTACTTGGTGCAGCTGCAAACTCAACTGGGAACAAGAATGATGTTACCTTGATTGAATGGCTGAATGAAGTGGGGGCAACAAGCTCAACTGGGAATTTGCAATTGGCAAGGCAAAAAGGTTATCCTCCTAAAAATATCTATGTAATTGTATAATAATTCCTTACTTATGTAAGTAAAAAATTTTTGGCCCCCAACATCTAAACTTTTCTTTGTTTGAGTTCTATGTTGGCGTTGTGGTTAACATGGTGAAAGTA